TTTTCTGCGTCACACTACGTGTTCATTTGAACTGTGTATATTAACAGTTAGAAATATGTTAGTTAGTGTATATGTGTTTGATATAATTCCGGTTTGGTATGCACTTAATTGGACTGATTTGGACAGTTAAATTTGTGGTTACGTAGCTGTAGTCTTAGCATAGCTAGTACTTGCTTTGGTTTAGCATATTTCTGTTTAAAATTAAAATTCAGAAGTAGTTTAAACCTGCAATTAAGTTAAAATCAATGTGATGGCCACATCGAGTTCAATTTTAAGCTGAACGTGCGTCTTGAACAACTTCGTAATGCAGTAGCTGATATAAGCAGATTAGTTATTAATGTCGAGGCATGCATTTCCTTGAGTTCATTGTTTCAATGTAAGCATTGACAATTCTAAGTCAGTAGTTAATATTAGTGGTTCACTTGAATTAAGTATGCAATATCAATTTGACTGATTTGAACAGCTAAGAAGTCACTGGTAGGTAAATAAATAAAGTGATTAGGCTGTGACATTAAATCCAACGCTGTTATGAAATCTGGGCTGTTTTGAGCTTGCAAATTGTTAGGCCCATTTGTTAACTTTTGGGGCTGAAATCAAATCGTGTGAGACCCCACGAATCTGTTGGGTTATGTATTCTTCCTGGGCTAAGCTTGAGGCATAAAGGAAACTAATGAAGTTCTTATAAAAGTCACGGACCCAAGAGGATAGTAGCTTTTGAACAATAATAATTAATTAGGGCTTCTTCTTTTATTATTAGAGACAAATAAAAGTAGAAAATTATAGATTGCTTTAGGTTTGCCTTTAAATAATAAACAAGGTGAGCCTCGCCGAATAAAATGCAGGGCCCTCAATATATGTCATATAGAATACTTAGAATCCGGGCGGACCGTTTAGCGAATTTCACGGTCTTCCTCAAAGATAATAACGCGTAGTTGCTTTAGGCGCGATTTTTAATAATATTACCGTTCCTAAATTCGAGTGCACATTTATGTGACCCAAATCCAAATCTCAACGAAGTCGAAATGTGTTAACAATCACGGGTGCACTGCTGCGACGTGGTTCGAGACGCATTTTCACGACGTTGCAATTCTTATATAAAATAATAATAAAAGCGGTTTACTAATAAAAGCACATGAGTTTGGACATGTTTTGAAATCAGATAAACTCAAATACAACAGTTGAGCGACCGTGCTAGAACCACGGAACCCGGGAATGCCTAACACCTTCTCCCGGGTTAACAGAATTCCTTACTCGGATTTCTGGTTCGCGGACTGTTAACAGAGTCATAATTTCCTCGGATCGGGATTCAACCGGTGACTTGGGACACCATTAATCTCCCAAGTGGCGACTCTGAATATTAATAATAAATCCCGTTCCGATTGTCCTTCAATTGAAAAAACTCCTTTAAACCCTCGCGGGTGTAGTGAAAAAGGAGGTGTGACAGCTCTGGCGACTCTGCTGGGGATCGAACCCAGAATCTCTGGTTCAGGGTTCAGAATTCGAGCTTTGATGTATTGTTGTATTTGGCTTTATCTGATTTTTCTACATGTTTCATGCTAAATGTGCAAAATGTTGCTTTTTACCACTTTGATATTATCTGAACTGTATATAAACTATGCCGAAACCCTTCTCTTCTCACCTCCGGGGATGTGCTTACTGGTTGAGACTCCCTATTCTGTTAGTGTCAATACCCTGAAATGAGAAAGAGGCCGGACAAGTTACTAAGCCGGATGGCCCTTTGGTTCCCGGTACGTAGCCCCCTCCTCGACTCGAGTTGTCCGCTCGGGTACACAGTCTAGAATACATACCCAGTTTTTGAACCTAGAAGAACTTGACTTCATGCCGGATCCCTAGTAGGACGTTTATCTGCATCACGTGCATATGACTTAGGGGACTCAACACAGGGGTTGGGTCCGTCTAGGACAGGTGTACCCGGAATAATGGACCATTCTGCTGCATCCTATTTGTGCATTTATCTGTTTGGGACCTACATGCTGACCGGCTTTGAATATTTGGAAACAGTGGAAAAACCAAAGAGAGAATAGCAGTGTAGAGAGTTAAGTCCCTATATTAGAAAAAAAACCAATGTCCAAATAATGCCAAATGCTGCCGAATTTTTGAGAAAATAAAAAAAAAAGAGAAAAGTTCTTTTAGTTTGCCAATGGAAAAGAAAAACAAAAAAGAGTTTTATTTTCCAATTAGTTTATTTGCCACTGAAAAAGAAAATATAAAAATGAATCTTGCTTTCAGAAATAGTGTATTCGTCAACAAAAAAAAAAGGAATCTTGTTTTCAAAAATAGTTAGTTTTATTTGCCCGAACTACGCAGGTTTGATTCTCACCAGATGTGAGATACGTAGGCAACCCTCATCGGGTCCAACCTCCCCTTTTCAAAAATAGCCAAAAATGCCAAATTTTTTAATTTCGTCATGAATAAGTCGGGTGCCGCCATTCTTGTTTAAACTAAGCCGAATGTCCCCAAAAGGGCGCCAAAAGGCTGTTTTTGCAAGAACAACCACCCTGAGTCAGTTCAACGGTTAACAAACACAGCCTTAAAATCTTCTCCCCGAAGTGCTGAAAGGCCGTAACTGCAAAACCGGCCGTTTGTTTTAAAATTGGAAATTTGAACACAAAATAGTGTCATTTTTTTTTCCTTTTAGGTCAAAATAAGTGATCAAATCACCTTAATAAATGTGCAGGATGAGTACGATTCAAAATAAGGGAAACTTGCATATAGGCCCGCGGCGAGACCGAATGATGTCCCGCGGGCGCTAGGAGCTTTAATGTATTTAGATCGTCTTCTGAGTCTGTATTTCCTTTTCTACTGGAGTTTGTAAAAGTCAGTCAGTTGATTAAGTCTGTATTTTCGTTTAAAGTAGAATAGGGATGATGGAGTCTGTAGTTCTTTTCTGCATTAGAGTCTGTTAGTTGTTTAATCTGTCAGTTTTGAGTCTTTGTAATAGACGTATTTTCTATCAATAAAATTGAAAATCCTAACAAATATTTTGCTTCTACTTTACATTTATTCTGCAAGAACTACGCTCGGTCTGATTCACGCGGGCTCGTGATACGTAGGCAATCTCCATAGGATTCGACCGTAACCAAAAGAAGAAAAAAAACGGGAAAAGAGTGGAAACACCAGAAAAGGCAAAAAGAAAAGAAAAGAGCGGAAAAACAAAACTCAAGAAAGGAAGGAAATAGGAACGAGAGAGGACAAAGGCAAGAGTGAAAAAAAAAGGGGGGGAAAAAGAAGGAAAACAAAGGTAGAAAAATTTGCAATTGGAAATAAAAGCCGGGATGACGCATGCGCCCGATCAAAAGCTGTTACCAATGTGTTAAATGCCCTAACGCTAACGTGATTGTTTCATTTTGCCATATCATTTCAGACAGGTGGTTGGTTTGTGGTTTAAAAAGTAATTTTTTCCTGCAACACAGAGGCAAGAGGCAATGGCAGAGAACAGCAGAACTGAGTTGGTTGATACCAATGTTCGACAACAGTTGGTGGAACGGGATAATGGGTTGGTTGAAGAGGTGCGGATGCTGAGACAACACATGACAAACATGTATCAAGCCTGGATAACTGGAAAGGCGCCACCCCCGCCACCACCAATTTTCCCGGACGCTACCTTTACCCAAACTCCCAACACAATACCAGATGATCCTCCATATTCTCCAGATACACCCGCTTATCACACTCGTCCCACCTACCCTAGTAGCTTCATCGCTCATCCTTCAGTTACTACTCCCCAAAATTGCCCTCCTGTCATATCCATTACCCCAAACAATGAACACCTATTCAAAGCTCGTAATGCCCAATATCACCCTCCGGAGGTTGCCCACAGGGTCCTTGATTCATACAAGAAGAGCTCACGGGATGAGCTCCGTGCTAGAAATGAAAAGGTTACAAGAAGAGGAGGACGAGATGGGACGCCCAGGAAGCTGAAACGCATAGAACTGTCCTTAAGGGACAAGCGAAGAGTGGGAGGCCAGGGTAGCATGATTTGTAAAGAACTGATTGTGCCACATGATGCCCGCTTGACCGCAGGATTCAAAGTACCAAAATTTAACTTGTATGATGGGCGTGGAGATCCGGTAGCCCACCTGAGGGTCTATTGCAACGAAATGAGGATTGTTGGAGAGAAAGATGACATGATGATGGCATATTTCAATAAAAGCCTAACTGGGGCAGCTTTGGACTGGCATGGTTGTCAAAATGTCGATGAGTGGCTTACATTGGGTGACATGGCTCAAGACTTTGTCCGATACTTTCAATGCAAATCGAGGGTTACCTCAGACCGCTCCTCTAAAAGATGGAA